GTGTCCCCTCTTGTCCCCTCCAGTCCGCGGGCGCTGGTTTTGCTGCAGTCGCTGTCCCCCCACAACACACCAAAGCCAGAACTCGGTGTCTCGCCTTTCTATAGCCCTGGGTAGCGATCAGTCCCCAGGGCTTAGGGCCTCCCCTGGGGATTCGTTACGCGTGCCCGCATCCGGAATCGAGGCCGGGGCTGCTGGCAGGGGGCACAGGGGGAGCAGAGCGCCGCCGAGGGCGCGGGCGGCGTTTGGGGCGATGGGCAGGGGCCAGCCGGAGCCGTGGGTGCGGGGCGCTCACAGGCGCTGCCTGCTCGGCAGCCCTGCTACCTGCGCGACTGGGAGATGCAGGTGCACTTCAAGATCCACGGGCAAGGCAAGAAGAACCTCAACGGCGACGGCTTTGCCATCTGGTACACCAAGGACCGCATGCAGACAGGTAAAGGGGGGCTGTGCTGGGCCCTGCCGCCGCTTTTGGGGTGCCCTCCTGGGGGTCCCGGCTGCTCCCGCGTGGCTGCAGCCTCCCCCGGGGCTCCTCCGGCCCCGTAGGGCCCTTCTGCCCTTCGCTGGTGGGTGAGGAGGGGGCAGCGGCCGTGTTGGGGCTCTGCAGAGCTCTGCTGCCTCTGCTCCCTGGCGTTTACCATCTGCTGGGTATTTGTTGGTATATGATACGGGTATAATTATTATTAGCTCTTCTTGCATGACACAACCTGGCTCCCTCTAACAGGAGCCTGTGGAGGAAAGAGCCCTCTCTGGTGATATTCCCCCCATAAAAAGTAAGTTAAACTGGAGGTTTAGCAGGCTCGGGTCTGCGTTGGCTGTGGAGCAGCGTGACCCGCGGGGATGTCCGTCCCCTGCAAAGCAGCGGCCTCGTTACCCGACACAGAGAACAGCGTCTTGATGCTCTTGTTCCCGACCTGCCCTTCCTTGCAGGCCCTGTCTTCGGGAGCAAGGACAACTTCCTGGGCCTGGGAGTGTTTGTGGACACCTACCCGAACGAGGAGAAGCAGCAGGAGGTGAGGAGGGGCGGGCGGCCCGGGGGGGCCCTGGCAGGCGTCGCTTCCCCTTCTTTGGGGTGTCTGCAGCGCGTTCTGTGTGGGCGGCTTTAACCATCCCCCCGATCCCCGCATTGGGGTGAAGCCCTCGGAGGGGAGCGCGGCTGCGCACGGCCTCTTGTTGTGGAGGTGCTGGAGGCTGGAGCGGGGTGCGCGCGCGGCTCTGGCACCTTTGGGCTCCTCGGGACCCGCCGTGCCCTTGGCGTTGGTGGCCCCAACGCGGCTGCAGAGCAGGGACAGGGGAGGCCGCCCGCCCGCCGCTGCGAGCGGGGCCTGCTCCTCCTCCCGGCTGCTCTGAAACCATCAGGCCTCCTTTTCCCGAGAGCACGTTTTGCATTCAAACCCCCTCCCACGAGAGGTGTTCTTATTACGAGGATAAACACGTTTATTCTTCAGCTCGGCGCCAACGAGAGCGAGCCCAGGGGCTCCCTGTGGACGCGCCTGGCCTTGGCGCAGCCGAGCACAGGTTGGGTAACCAGCAGCGTCTGCTCAGACACTAATGTGCGCCCGGGGCTGGGCTCTGTGCGCGTGTCCGAGCCCGGGGAAGGCCCTCGCGAGCCGCCCGGCAGGGCATTAGCGCCGCGCTCGGGGATTAGCCTAATGCTGGGCCAGGAGAGGCCGCCGCGGGGGCTCGCGGCGGGCGCCCGCGCGGAGGGACACGGGGCAGGTCCTGTCGGAAGGGCACAACCGGGGCGCGCTCGTGCAGCCTCGCGGCGCAGCGGCATCGCGGCCGGCCGGAACGGGGGGCTGCTCCTTGGTGGCAAGACGTGGTTCAAAAAAGAAGGGGGGATGGAGTAAAGGCGAGCGGCTGGAGCGGCCGTGTGCCGGCCCCGGGCTGCTTTTGCTCCGCTCTTACAGCAGGAAGGAAGTTTTGCTCCCGAGGGAAGAGGGGCAGGCGGGTGGGAGCAGCTGGGGACCCGTGGACAGTGTCGCCGTGCTGCTGTGAGGAGCCGGCGCGGTGGAGCCGGTGCCGAGGGCACCTCGTGGGGCTCGGCCGCCCGGCCGCCGAGCCCAGGATTTGGTGCTTAGCTCCAGCCCGGTCTCCGCTTTGGCCTGCGCTAAGCGGATAGCGCCCTGAGCCGCCTCGGGAGGAGGTTCCCCGCGGCAGGTTAATGCCCCGCGCCGCTCCATGACTCTCTTGCTTCTGTGCTCTTTCTTGCTTTGCCATAACCCTGGACTCAGGCTCAGAAGAGGAGGTACAGCCCCGGAAATCAGGTACTCGCTCCTGCTGACTTACCCTTTCCAGCGCTGTTGTAGCCTCGTCTCCCCGTCCGTGTAACTCCAGGGTGAGGGAATTCCTCATCCCAGCTCTAGAAATCCTGGTGGGACCAGGACACTTGGCTGGCCCTGCCGCCCTGGCTGCTGGGGCTTTTCATCCTGCATGGAAACCGCTTCTGTCACGGACCCTGTGGGGGATTTGGGGGCTGCCTGCGGCTCCCGCCTGCGTGTCGGAGCCCGGAGCCGTCCCCGCATCCTCCCGCGTTGGGCCAAGCGGGTTCGGACGGCCTGCGGCCGCCGCAGGGGCTCACGGTGGCCTTGTCCCCCCGCAGCGCGTCTTCCCCTACATCTCGGCCATGGTCAATAACGGCTCGCTCACGTACGACCACGACCGCGACGGGAGGCCCACGGAGCTGGGCGGCTGCACGGCCATGGTGCGCAACCTGGACCACGACACCTTCCTGGTGATCCGCTACGTCAAGAGGAGGCTCACGGTGAGCGGCGCCGCGCGCGGCCCCGTGCCCGCGCCCTGCCCCGCGCCTCACGCGCCCGCCCGCCTTGCAGGTGATGATCGATATCGACGGGAAGCACGAGTGGCGGGACTGCATCGACGTGCCGGGCGTGCGCCTGCCCCGTGGCTACTACTTCGGGACCTCGTCTGTCACCGGAGACCTGTCAGGTACCGCGGGGGCGCCGGGCGTCGCTTCCCGGTGCCCCCGGCAGCCTGTGCGTGGCCGAGGTGCCCCTTGGCACATGCTGAGGCTGCCGGGGTGCTTGGGGACCTCTCCGTGCTCGGCCCGTGGGAGCTGGGTTATTCTGTCCAAGACTTGGAATTTCCCGCCCCGAGAGCTGTCCAGTCTCCTGTGGAGGGGCCAGGGGTGCTGGGGGGCAGCGGTGCCATGTGGGCTGCCGGGAATTGGATTTTCCGGCGCTCAAATGCACTGCCTCCCTCCTTTAATGCTTCTCCCAGCGCTCCTACTGAGGCCTGAGATTACCTCTTGCAGCAGGTTTTAAGGCTGATTTTGAATGCGGCCCCCACAAAAGCACATTGATGGCTGGTGTCTGGGCCCATTGTTGGCTCCAACAAAAGTTCTTTTTATTTCCCGTCTGTGCCTAATGCCCGGGAGCTGGCGGGCTGGCAGGGGGCACCTCCTGCCCACACAATCCCCAGCAAAAGAAAGGGGTCACGCCAGGCTGAGCCTAATGTGTCAGATGATCCCCCAGTCTGGGCTGTTTCTCTTTAAGCTCCTTAAAGGTTCCCCTGGGAAAGGGGCCTGGGGCTGTTGCCCAAATGTGACCCCCGTGCAGGGCTGTCGGGGGCACCGCTGTCCCCGGGCAGGGCCGCGTGTGGGGCGGCCTCCCCACACCCTTGGGCTCCCGTTGCAGACAACCACGACATCATCTCGCTGAAGCTTTTCCAGCTGACGGTGGAGCGGACGCCGGAGGAGGAGAAGCGCGACAGGGAGGTCTTCCTGCCCGTGGTCGACAACCTGAGGCTGCCGGGACGTGAGTGGGAGCCGCCGCTCTGCCCCGCGCCCTCGGCCGCCCCGCGGGGCAAACCCTGCTGGGTTGGGGTCTCACAGCCCCTTTCCCTCCTGCTTTCCCGCAGTGGAGGCCCCGCTGGAACCCATGAGCGGCCTGGCTCTCTTCTTGATCGTCTTCTTCTCCCTCGTCGCCTTGGTTTTTGCCATCGTCATTGGTGTCATCGTCTACAACAAGTGGCAGGAGCAGAGCCGGAAACACTTCTATTGACTCGGGAAGCTGCCCGGGATGCCCTGCGCTTCATCTCTGCCCGCTGCATCCCGGCTCCCATCATCCCGGGCTGGCATGGTGTGATGGACCCAGCGGGGGCGGCTGCTGTTTCTTATCCGGCTCCGGGCCTCCCGCAGTGCTCCCTGTGGGAATGGTGATCCCAGCACAGCGCGTGGCGTCTCAGGAGTCGAGCGTGTTCCGTCCGGAGCGGGCTGCTTCAGGAGCCGCCCACAGGACGGACGGGGCTCCGGGGTGGCACCAAGCTGCTTCCCAGCGCCCCGGGGAACCTGACCGTGGGCAGAACTCGCCCCCTCGGCCGCGAACGCTGCCCAGAGTCCCCGCGGCTCCCTGGGGCCGCTCACGTGCCCCTTTTCCTCGCCACGCTGGGATGGTGACACCTTGCCGTGGCCTGGCCCAAGCTGTTACGTTCCCAAGTGGGATTTGTCACCTCAGTGTCCCCAAGCCCCCTATACCCCTGAGCTTTTAACCCTGTGAGGGCGACTTTCCAGCAGCGGCCTCACAGCCCGGACTAGTACGGCGGCCTCCGCGCGGGCCCAGCCTCCGCGCCCCTTGCATGTCGTGTTGTGGCTCGTGGCGGGCGCGCGGGGCTGCACCCACGGCCGGGCACTGGTGCCAGCCCCGTGGAAGGGGCGGCCTGGGGCTCCGTGCAGAGCTGCGGCTCCCGCTGCCCTTTGCGGAGCCGCGGGTTATTCCTACCTCAGGGACTGCTTTGTTTCTTAGTTTGGGGAGGGACGGGGCTGTTCCTCCCGTCAGCGCTGGTGGCTGCGGTTCTGGGATCCCCCCGCTCCCCGTGGAGCAGCCTGCCCTGCACCGGGGTGTCCCGGCCGCCTTGGGGACGTGGTGGCTTTGGGCTCCCGTGGAGGGGGAGGCAGCCCAGGGCTGCAGATGAGGAGGGTGCTGGAAAGGCCTGGTCTCCTGCAGGGAATCCCGGGAGCTGTCGGACAGCCCGATGGGATCCCGACCCCCTTGCCTTTGCCAGCTGCCCTTGCCGTAAGCCCCGTTTCCGCAGCGCCGCGTCCTCCTCGTCCCCGCGCGGCCCGGGGCATGGGGGCAATTTGCCAGGGCTGGCTGCTGCTGCTGGGGCGGGTGGCGTCTTTCAGAAGTGCCCAGAGGCCGTCGTGCCCCGAGGACCCGGCTCCAGGCCTTGGCCTTTGCTGTCTTATTTCGGTGTTTCTGTTGCCTGATGCGCAGAGCTCGGTGCTGCCTGTGCCCTGTCCCAGAGCCGTAAGCCGTGTCGGAATAAACGGCCGTGTGTGCGTGATGGGGCCGGGCCGCCCTCCTTCCCGCCACGGGGACCCCGGTCACCGTCACCCGGGGTGGCACCGGCTCAGCCTTTATTGCCGAGGGGCCCCAGGGTGCGCGCGGCCGCGTGGGGGGCTCCCCTCGGTGCCGCCGCTCCGGCCGCGTCAGCGCCGGGGTCTCCGTCCCCGCGTGGCGCCGCCGCCCGGGTGCCAGCCCTGCAGCGGGTCCACCAGCTTCATGGCCAGGTAGCCCTGGGCGAGCGGGACAGGCGGTGAGGGCGCGTGGGGCGGCGCGGGGCCGCGGGCGCCCGCGCCCCCCACTCACAGGCGCGGCGTAGACGAAGGCGAGCAGCAGGGCGAGCAGCAGGGCCAGGGCGAGCGCGGCGGGCAGCGCGCGGCGGTGGCGCCAGCGCAGCGCGTAGCGCAGCGTCCGCAGCGGCGCCTGCAGCCACGAGCAGTCGGGGCGGCTGCGGGGCCGTGCGGCGCCCGCCGCCCTCCCCGCGCAGCCCCGTGCCGCCCCCGTGCCCGCTCACAGCGGCGCCGCCAGCCGCGGGAAGGCGTTGGGCTCCTCGCGGCCCTTCCCCGCCGGCCGCTCCGCCGCCTCCGCCGCCGCCAGCAGCTCCAGGCTCAGCTCCAGCTTACCCTGGGGGCAGCACGGGTGCGTGGCCATGTCCTCGTACCCTCCCCGTGCCCCGTATAGCCGTGCCTACCGCCAGGCGCCGCTTGCCGCCCTCCTGCGCGGAGCAGGGCCACCAGCCGCGCGCGCGGCGCTGGCGGAAGAGGGAGACGCGGGGCGCGCGGCCCCCCCAGCGCGGCCACCGCGGCGGCGGGCCCAGCTGCGCCAGGCTGCAGCGCCCGGGCCGCGGCGCCGGCTGCGGCAGGCTCAGCAGCTCCAGCTCCAGGACGCCTGCGGGGACGCGCCGCGGGAGCGCGGTCCCCCTGGGCGCCGTCCCCAGCCCCGCGGCGCTGTCCCCAGCCCGCGGCCGGAGCCCTCACCCAGGAAGTCGTCGGCCGAGAACTTGTCGTTGTCCCACACCTGGAGGATGAGCTTGGGCGGCACCTTGTGCACCGTCTCGTCCAGGCTCCAGAAGTGCTCCTGGAAGTGCTCCTGCTCGGCCCCGGCCCCGCGCCCCTCCGCCCCCGGCCCCGGCGCCACTCGCCTTCCTGGGCAGCACGCAGAGCTGCTCGGCCGGCAGGTAGTTGAAGGGGAAGACGAAGCGCCAGTTGAAGCTGCCGTCCCCTTGCAGCGAGCGGTAGTGCACGTCCGTCCTCTGCGCCTGCTCCTCCAGCCCGGCCAGCCACCTGCAGGGCCACCGCCGTGGCACCCGGGACGCGTGGTGGCACCCGGGACGGCCGGTGGCACCCAGGGAGCCGCGGCGGGGCCCGGCGCCGCTCACCCCTTCACGTAGATGTCACTCGTCCTCTGCCCCGCCAGGCTGGTGTCCTGCAGGTCCACGTCGCGCGTGTTCCACACGACGCAGCGCAGCTCGTAGCTGGGGGCGGCGCGGGGACGTGCTGCCCGCTGCCTGTCCCCTGGGGACCCTGGGGGTCCTGCAGGGCCCGGCCGCTCTGTCCCCCAGGGCCCGGCCACCCTGTGCCACCCACCTCTGGGGCTGCCGGGGGGTGACGTCGGTGGGGGGCCCTGGGGGACCGAGGCTGGCAGGGAAGATGTCCACCCACAGCTGCAGCTTGCCCTGCGGGAACAGGGGCGGGCGAGGACTGTCCCCGCGTCCTTGTCACCCCCAGCATCCCTCCCTGCCCCGTGCTCCCCTGCGTCCCCGTGTCCTGCCCTGGCACCTGTCCTTGTGCTCATCCCAATGGTCCCCAGCACCCAAGGTCCCCAGCATGCCCGTCCCCAGCATCCCTCCTTGTCCCAGAGTCCCCATTGCCTGAGGGTCCCTCCATGCCCTCATTCCCGGTGTCCCCATCACTCCAGAGTCCCCATCATTTCCCAAGAATCTCACCTTGTCCCAGTGTCCCCGTCATCCCTGCCACATCCCTCCTTGTCCGCAGGGTTCCCCTCACCTCGCACGCATCTCTGCTTGTCCCACACCGCCAACACCCGAGTGCCCCCATGCCTGTCACCCCAGTGTCCCCAGCACCCCCCTGCATCCCTCCTCGTCTCATGTCCCCATTGCCCCAGAGTCCTTCCCGTGCCCTTGTCCCCAGCGTCCCTGCGACCTCCCGTGTCCCCCAGTGTCCCTGGAATGCCTCCGCACGCCCCAGGGTGCCCGGGCCCTGCCTGCTCCAGCCCGGGCTGGGTGCTGCTGTACAGGGTGCGGGTCTCCAGGTGCTCGGGCACGAGGCGACACGCGTGCAGCAGGTGCAGGGCCAGGCGCTCGCGGGGCGCCCCGGGGTGCCGATACGTGGGCGGCCCGCTCTCTGCAAGGGTGCCAGCCCGTCGCACCGCGCGCCCGCGCCGCTGCCCGCCGCCCCCGCGCCCGACCCACCGAAGTGGCCGAGCAGGAAGGTGGCTCCCCCGAAGATGACGGCGGTGCCGTCGGCGCTGAACTGGGGCGCGGGCAGCCCCCGCGCGCGGGCCAGGCGCTCCAGCGCCCGGCTGGGCGTGAGCTGGTCCCTCCAGCGCCTGGGGCCGGCGCTGCGGGCACCCCGGGCCTGGCACCCGGCGCGGGGCGGCCCCAGCTGTGCCCCGCAGCCCTCCCGGTGCCGCCCTGCGGCCTGGCTGCTGTGCGCGCCCCCAACCACCTCCCCATGTCCGCCCTGCTGTGCCCACCTTGACCACCTCCCCAGGTCCACCCCGCTGTGCCCACCTTGACCACCTCCCCATGTTCACCCTGCTGTGCCCACCTTGACCACCTCCCCACAGCCGTCCTGCTGTGCCCACCTTGACCACTTCCCCACGGCCACCCTGCTGTGCGCACCTTGGCCACCTCCCCATGTCCACCCTGCTGTGCCCACCTTGCCCACCTCCCCATGTCCACCCTGCTGTGCCCACCTTGACCACCTCCCCAC